CCACTGCAATACGGCAGCGAATACCTTTAGCGATATTCTCTCACCTTGTTGAATTCCTTTTCCTATAGTCAAGGCAAGCAGTCGATGGAAAAGCTGCATATTGGTGCCGCAGTCCTGGTAACAGTGTGTTAGTGCTCGTGTAAAGGAGAGTCTACTCCTTAGTGGTCGAGCGCCGTAAAGATTGCACTCGTTTCGGCGCTCTCAAAGGCGTTCTTGCAGTCGACAAAGATTAAGACGAGGGTAAATGCTACTCCCGACAGATTTCTAAGACCCGTTACACGGTGTTGATGTGGTCCATGCAGCAGAATCTCTGTTAGAATTTTGCTTGTTCAAATAGTAATGCCTCATCCAAGGTCTACGATATTCGCGAAAGGATAATCTTCGTGAATTGTTTGAGAACACACTCAAAATCATATTGGGGAGGGGGCAGTTACGAACATCCTTTCGGTCACCAAGGTCAGCTTTGCAGAAGCCCTACTCAGGTCGTCGCCACACCACGCATTCGTCGCGTTTGTAGACCAAAAGGATATTTGCCATCATCCGGCTAGTTTGATATCAGGACGGTGGTGATTCCTAGTGTTGGTTTACTCTTAGCTGGGCTTCCTGTTGGAAACCTCGAACTTTTTCACAGGTTCAGACGGCCTGCTGGGGCAAAGAACCTCCGTTGTACATCGCAGCCCGACACCCAGGAACAACTCCCAGCCACAATGTAGCGGTAAACCGTTTGGGAAGCAAAGGATAAAGTCTTTAACCAGCTTTTTAACTTTATAAGTTTTATAAAGTTATGGTTAAAGTTAAAGCTAGACAACTTTTTATACAGTCCTGTTGATTTCTACTGAAATGACAGTTTTTCTCACTTACATTTCGGAATATTATATAAGTGATCAAGTTATACTTTTTTTCGACTTGTATCAAAAAAGCATGAAGCTCTCGGCGTTGATCAAACCATGAGGAATGCGCCATGCATTCGATTCCATTAAGAATCGTTGGAAGTGATTTAATTCATTTCTGGCCTTTACAATGACTCGTGGTGGCCTACTGATGTATCGGGTCAGCGCTGCTATCCTCCCAGACAAGTCTAGTATCAATTTCCCAACCCCGAAGGAATGGAAGACTTGGTGAGCCATTGGCGCTGGGATCGATCCCATGTGTATTGCAGGGAGCCGCTACACGCGCCCATATTTAGGAGCACATTGTGTAACTCTACTGAAACTGTGATATATGTATATATGTCCATTTAAAGCACTAGGTAAACGACACATGCTTTCCCCGAAACCAATAACGTATAAATTTCCATATTTCTCGAAAACAACTATGGAATACTGAATTCGAAATAATTACTTACGCAGGATTTTATCCTACGACCATCACTGCGTCGCTGCAGGCTGTAAAATGTATTTCAGATAATCATCTTTTCGCGCTCGTCGAAACGGCACGTGCGCAAGCTTGAAGGACTGCTATTCACCCGTGCACTGTACACGCTTTCTTCCAAACCTTTATTTTACCGTATCCACCATTTAATAATTGTTCCTCTAATGAACTCGCTTTTACTTCATCACATCTTAACAAAAAATTTAGGCGTTATGCATAGGTAGTAGCTATTTATTTTTTCGATGGCCTTTTGTTAGCTGAAATCCTTCAAAAATTCCATTTGCTCGTGATTTTGATCTCATCAGTTGTTCCAGTCAACGTTCTTCTACTTGTTTTCCATCATATCGGATGTAAAGTTCATTGTTTATTCTTCAGCTCACGAATAAAACTGCATTTCGTCGCACATTATTCTTCTCCGCGGGTTTAAATGACACATTCATAGGTGGAAATGTAAAATATTCATTTGGCTATTGCTTCTTTTCACATATTTGTTTTAGAATATCCGATAGCTTCTAGTTATTACATTTGGACGAAGTCAGCCAATTATATATATATATATATATATACATATATATATACATATATATATATATATACATATATATATATCTTCTACCAACGCTTTACCGTCTCATCGTGGCTGGGAGGTGTCTTTGGGTGTCGGACTGCGATTTACAGCGGGGATTCATTCCCCCGGAAGGGTCCCCCAAGCTGAGAAGGAGCCCGGCGTTTCCATCAGGAAGCCCAGCTAAGAGTAAACCAGTACCAGGATCTACCACCGTCCTGGTATCAAATTAGTGGCATGGTGGCAAATCTACCTCTAATCCACAAGGGCTGCGACTGCTTGTGGTGGTGAAGACCTGCGGCAGACTTTGGCCAGGCTAGCCTTGGGATTCCAGTGAACCACAATGGCTTAACCAGCAAATCTCCGAAAAATGGAGACTGTGCTGTAGCCCACACAACTAGTGAGGATGTGCCATTCAAGTATCAAGTATGTGACAAGTATACATATATCTATTAGTCATTAATTGCCGTGATGTTCACTCATCCTTTCTGCGAAAAAATTTGTTTTCTGACCAAGAAATTGACCTTTCTTAGGTTCCAATGTTCTCCTCATTCTGCGTTGTCTTGTTTTTTTAAGCTTCAGTTTTTTTACGCCATTTTAGAATTCTCCGGATAAAATGGGCGGTAGAACGATCCGTGGCATCGGCGCTACTATTGTAAAGAAGTATCTACTGGAAATTTGTTACATTACGGAATCCCAGGTGCATAGGAATAGTAGGTCAACGGTGATAAAGTGGCATATATGTAAATGTGATTAATCTCTTGAAGGATTCCATGGGAAAATACAAAATTGTACATTATTGAGTTGCTTTCCTAAGGAAATAGGCTGTGGTAATGTAACAACGTTCAGTCGATGCAGCGTTTTCGTCTCGTAGCAGAATATGGTTAACGGGACTCCTTACGTAATAGTACCAAGTTGGTTTATTGTAAGGCTAATTCTGATGATCATTGCAGGAGCATCAATACAGTCACTACAATAAGCACTGATTTCAATAGGGTTTGTCGGAACGTTTGTGCTTATTTGATGCCGTAGCACAAAGTTGCTGTGATTGTGAGTTCCTTCTCGTTTTTGTTTTCTGTTTTCTAGTTAAGCAGTTAATTAAGATGCGTAAACGACGTTAAGGTTATATTTCCCGGTTCATTTAATCAATTCTTACAGAATTGGCTTATGCCATTCTTCCCTATCGATGTTGTTATCACCTTGTTTATCGCAAACATTAGACAATCGACTATACAAAGGTAAGTAGATAAATGTCAACTACTATTAAGACCCACTTCGCGTTTAGGAATGAAACGGATATTTCTCCTTTTCACAATATTACTGCTTATCAATGGTACTATAGAACTAGCAATTTAGAAGCATAAAGGACTGGCTCGTCAAAAGAGAAATTTAGGTTGAGTAAGAAACTACCATGTTCAACCACTAGGCCATAGGAAGCCGAAGTTTGCTTGAGGTCGAGGAAGGTGACGTCACTAAACTTCACGAGAAGCCTGTAAAACATTAAACAAATCTCCTTGGTTCTACGTACCGACTTGATAATTTTCGAAGAACCCGAGCTATTATGTTAGTAGAGCAATAAGAAAATCCTACGATCTCCAATTTGTATCCGTGGGCGTGAAGGTGTACGTAAGGCTCAGGTGTACGAAAACAGAAAAAAAAATGACAGGAGATTAATCACTAGCAATCGTAAACCGATAGATGAAAGTCAAAAACGCCAATAATTGAAAACCGTACGTTTTCCATTTTTAAGAGAACTTTAGCACTTTAGCACTGAATAGCCGTAGAGCCCCCGTAGTGACAAACAGCCACGTCAAACGCTCGAGTAGGGAAACCCTGCCACATGAGATGGATCCAAATTCTATTTCGTCATTGAAAGTATGTTTGACAACCACAGACTCTGATCCATTGTATTTGTACTTCTCTTACTTACACAGAAAGAGTACACCACTACAATCAGAATAAAGTAATTTACACCGCATGGATTGTTGAGTAAACCCATACCGAGTCTTCTCAAAGGATGTGTCCACTCTACTACGGTACTGAGGTCGCTTCGGGACCAACACTTGTGTCCTGGTTGCACCACAATTATAGAAAGCACTGAGTTCTTTGGTACATGATGTATCTTCAACAACAAAGGTTTCAAGAGTATTGAAGGGAACTGAAGTTACAGTTAAGAGTGGCGGATAATCAAAAATGTTAAAGTGACATGATAATCAGATGAGAGAGTCGACCTAAGCCGCTTACATAACCCTCTGTTAGTTCTTATCACCACCACATGGTTATGTCCTAGATTTACTACCGCTTAGATCTGAATACCGACTCAACATTGGTGCCGGAGTTCCGACGGTGGCTCAAATCCGTCGCTCACCCCCCCCCCCACGATCGGTGCCCGCCGCGTCAGAGACGCAGAGGATTTGTGTGTCTACTGTCTGTGTAGGCAACGCGATCTGTCGCCCATTTGCCACTGTCCACACAATGAACGAATCGATCGAGGGAATGTCCTAGGCCGTGACTCTATGCGCTTTTCTTCTGTGTTCCTAGATCGTGGGTTACTCCGTTATTATGGTTACTGTTTCAAACGTCCGAAGTGTTCATGAATGTCACGCTGTTGCCCAAGCTCTCAATTATTGTCCTAGTATGCGTATTGGATGCAGTGCGCAGTGACAAACCTTCAGCTTTCATTCGAAGAACGGATGGTCGCTGCTTGACTAAGCACATATGTCTTTTTTGTCGTTAGCTTTCTATGTGCATTGAACTCCTATTCCTTTTCGAAACTTGTTCGACGTCACTTTGAACCCGTGTATGGGAAGCATGAATGGTATTCGATGCATTCGGTTGTGCAGCCGCGTTGCGTCACTCCTTGCGTCGCGGTTGATTGCCCGCCATTTGAATGTACTCATTCGTTTTAGCTGGTGGTTGGTTTGTAATGTGGATATTTCCGTTTTTGTGGGAAATTTCAGATGCACTTCCTTGTACTCCGAGTATTTATTTATGTACTTAGTGTTTTTAAAATGTTTTCGTGCCATTATGTGACCCGAATCTTCATTTCAGGTTCTACACAGGTATGTCTGGTAATGGTTCGCAGAAGGTCAGCGACGTTGTAAGCACATCTGGTGATGGAGCCACAGCAAGCATAGCAGATGAAAACACAAAGAAGCCTGAAAATCCATGGGCGTCACCTCGCCAGGTAGCTGTCATGAGAATACAATTGCTTTCTGTATTCCTTTGGCCAGGTGTTTCATTCTTTGTAGACTTCTTTTTAGGAGCCTGTCAATGGCATTGTTCAACCTCGCGTTATCCCTCCAATGGGGAAACCTACAAGGCACACCAATCAGTTGGACTATATTTTGAATACCGTGCTTAAGGAAGTAATGAAGCACAAGCATGCTTGGCCATTTAATGTTCCAGTAGACACGGTCAAGTTGAATTTGCCGGTACGTTTGCGTAGTTCTCACTTGTAATTAGCTGGTGTCTGGCTAATTTAGTGTATTTGTTATCTGTTAAGTAATGGAGAATTTAGGATTACCACAAAGTCATTCGCCGACCCATGGACATGAAAACAATTCAGAAGCGCTTACAGAACATCTATTACCATTCTGCAAAGGAATGCATGGAGGTTAAATATTTTATATACATGTATATGCCGACATGCATGCATATGCATATATGTACGTATACGTATATATATGTACAAATATATGTGTGTACGCAGATGTGTATATGTCTTATATTATATATGATCTAGGCGTATACGTACATATGTGTGCGTTGTGTGTAGTGTGTGTATGAACATTGTATGTCTACGTATGTGTATATACCTATACGTGCATGTATATGTGTATATATATATATATACATATATATGTACATGTGATGTAAATACATATATGTGTAATATGCAAGTTGATACACATGCATAAATTTCTATTATAATATACGCCTGTTACGTGTGTACACCTATTTACCCAAGTGCACACATGCGTAGTATGTGTTCATCGTATTCATGTGCATATTTCTGCACTGGACATATGTACATATATATGCAACATATGGCATATATAGATGTGTGTGTGCGCTCATATGTACATGCATAGATGTGTGCACACGTAAGCATATATACAATGTGTATATGTGTATATATATATATGTATACATGGGTTTAAAATAACAAGAAAAAAGTTAGCAGGTGTTGGAATTTCCGGAACCATAACAATGAACCGAGCCTTATACGAATGCTCTTGTACTTTTTTTTACGATGTTCTTGTTCATAAGTTCCCTCTATTTTGGATTTCCATGTTCGAAATGTTGTGTTCTCCGTTTCTGTGTAAGATATTTCAAGTTTTTTTTTTTTTTTCGTGATTAAGGCTCAGTAATCTTGGAGTGTGTCATAAAAGATGGCTTTGTGCAAGAACAAAACATATGGGGAGCTAGTGTATGCAGCAAAAGCAACAATGTATAGATGCCTTTTGATAGGTACGAATGGCGAAATGTGAATTGACAAGTGAGCGATTTCGAGTTGATCCGTGAGGTAATATCGGAGAATCTCCAACAATTGTACCACCAGAATAGGAATCTATGAGCGTTAACATCGTAATGTAGAAACAGAGACATGATACTTGGTTCGCTTTCAGTTTCGGACATACCAATTCTGTAACTGGATTCCATTTCTGTTGTACGGTACAACTGGTTGATAGTGTGGAGATTCTCCGATATTTTGTAGGACATAATGACAATGTTCAACAACTGCTACACTTTCAACCCTCCTCACAGTGAGATCGTTTCGATGGCTCGCGAACTCGAACAACTCTTCTTGGCCAAGATTGCTGATATGCCTGATGATGTAAGTATTCTACCGATTTTCACTCCAGGATTTCGAAGATATCTTCCGGAACTGTTACACCTTCAATCAAGTGGAAGACGATGTGACAATTATGTGCCAAAACGTCGAGAACGTGTATAGGGACTGTATGCAGAATTTACCGGCCGAGGTTTTTTGATTTCTAATTTGATGTGCGCAGATATGCTTCACTGTACCAAAAGAATCTTATCTCGTCACTTTCTAGCAGAATAACATGTGCTTAAACAGTTTCGATATGTATTTCAGTTGGTTTTAGGAAGTGGAGATAGCACGACCGTCTTCTAAGCGTGGTCCGAAAATTGTGCGGAAAGGTCCGTCTCCAGCTCCGACCGGGGCGCGGAAGTCAGCTTCATTCGTTCGAGGTGGGAGCGAGGATGCCCATCACGTCTTAGAACATTTTCATAATGCGACAGTTAGAGGTCTGCATGGTCTCACTCCTATATCTTGTTAATTGCAAAAATAACTACAGGTCGATGCAGTCTTCGAGGGTGGATGTTTCTTACTGGAATTGTTAAACTGCGAAATGTAAGCTACGCCGTATTAACATCATAATTTTACAGCTTCGAGGGAGTCGTCAATACAAAGGGGAGCTGCTGATAGCTCTTCTGTGCTTGGTGATTCTGATGTTCCGAATGTAGTAGAAGAATCGTCAAGTGGCACAAGTCTTGATGTTCCGGTATTTATTTACTACTGAAAGAAATGTTTTCTAAACTATGGATATCCGTTATCGTAGTTTCAAGTGTTTCCATACAGATAAGTTCGTCGACACTTCATCCCCTTAAAGTACAGAAAGGTGTGAAAAGGAAGGCAGATACTACTACGGGTGTTTTAATTGAAGAGGATTCTGGAAAGGTAACCAGGTTATATTACCTCGATAGATTTGTTGGTAACTTAGAGTGGTTTTTTTCCAGGTTCCCCGTCGTGAATCATCTCGACCAGTTAAGAAACCTGCACACTTTATAGATTATACTCAGTTACCTCCAAGATATAAAGGCAAAGCTACTGAAACTATGAAGTTTTGCCACAAGGTGCTGCACGAGTTGATGGGCAAGAAATGCAAGGTTAGCACCAGTGTTCATCTACCTTGTTACGATGTTGACTTTTTTCAATTTGGGTATTTACAGACGTTCAACTGGCCATTCTTGGTTCCTGTCGATGTAGAAGGAATGAAATTGTCTGATTATTACGATATTATCTCCAATCCTATGGACCTTGGAACAATTAAGAAGAAATTGGACAACAAACAATACGCAAATGCACAGGAGTTTGCGGATGATATTCGATTGGTTAGTTTACTACTTATTAGTCAGCTGAGTAGGATTTACATAGTTCGCGTACAGGTGTGCAACAATTGTTTCCTCTACAATCCGAGTTCCGACGCAATTTATCACCACGGACGATCTCTTTTGCGAGCTTTTGAGGATCGGGTTAGTTGATTTTTGGCATGTGTAGGATGTATCTTTTTTAGGATGTGTAAGCCAGTTTATATATTTATATGGGGGTTGTCGATAGCAATTGAATGAATGCGGATAAATAAAGCTATAATGGTAGTCTCGGAGGAACTTTTCATAAGAGTTCATTTCACACTCATATTTTTTCAATAAACTGGGATCTTGACGATTACATCGAGTGCTAATTTGCTATTTAGTGGACTCATTTACCTACGGATGAAGATGTTGATACAAATGTGGCTACCTCATGTGACGTTGATGACGATGACCAGCTTGAATCCTTCCTCAATAATGTATTGAAAATTATTACATTACAACCGTCATTTAAACCTCGCTGCAACTTTTTTTTAGGTGGGTGCTCAACGAAAGAAGCTGCAAGAGCGTATTGATCAACTAGCACAGTACTGTGAGGAGATAGCGCAGCTTCGGCTTAAGAGGAAAGAAGCGAAGCTTAACGATACACCCATGCCGCCTTTTCCTCAGAACTTGGTGACCTCTGTGCAGCAAGCTCTTACGCAGTTTGGTTTGTCTGTTCAGCCGTTGACATCTACAAGCAGAGTTCGTCGAGCCACTGTCAGTCATGTTAATGATGACTCGCCATTGTCCAATGGCCCTGCGACGTCGATTTCACCACTGGTAGGACTTCTCATTGTTTGCATTACCATACCACTTAGTGGGATTTGCTATTTTAGCCTCGAAGAGATTTGAAACGTCCTCCTCCTATTACGTCTAATGAACCGTCAAAGCTGTATTGTGGTCGTGGTCGAAGACCTGGTTCAAAAAACAAGCCAAAGGCAGAGGCTTCGGCGAATGGAAAACCATGGAAGGACGATTATGAATTTGACTCTGGCGATGAAGCATCTCATGAGCCCATGTCATACGATGAAAAACGGCAGCTCAGTCTTGATATCAATAAGCTTCCGGGTGACAAATTAAGCATGGTTGTCAGTATAATCGAGAGCAGAGAAGATTTATCAGTAAGTGGTTTGTAGTTTACCCACTGTTGCTTTTGTTGCATAAGTCTTATCCTAGGATATTAGTCCCGAAGAAATTGAGATCGACTTCGAAACACTAAAGGCCGTTACACTCCGTGATCTGGAAGCTTTCGTAGCGGCAGCTCTTAAGAGGAAGCCGCGAAAAAGTAAGCATTACGCATACGGCGTGTATAAATTTTCCATATTCATGGTTACTTATCGTTGTAGCAGTGCGAAGTGATAACGAGACGCGTAAACGTGAAATTGAGGACAAGATCAAGAAACTTGGTGGTACAGTATCGGCGCAACAAACGAATAAGAATGGTATGTATCATCGATTGTCGTTTAGTGAGGAAAAGACCATTCATTTTGGTTTTGAATTTCGAGAAATCAATGGATAGACCATTTTTAATAAGATTGTTGTGTTTTAGCATCTACCTCAGATGCTCCACGACATGCAGTTAATCGTGCTCGTTCATCATCAGAGTCCTCTTCTGGTAGTTCTGGTTCGTCTTCATCATCGAGCAGTGACTCGTCTGACTCTGAATCAGGTTAGGCGGGTGGTGTATGGGCGGCGCAAGGGCACTCGATCTCTCTGTTTGGGTGGCGGGCTAAGGGCCGAGTCGAGTTCCCCCGTCCCGCCACCCCCGTCTTAGCCTACCAAGCGTTTTAGTTTTACACATTTTTTCATATTAACCAAAATATACAAAGTCGAGAGTACATTTGTTTTTGGTGGCTTATAATTATGTCTCTGTAAATATCACATCTCACTCCCCTTTTTGTTCCCATCTCCTTCCTATCCCAGAAGGAAAACTCATATTGGTGCATCCACGTCCAAACGGCAAATCGGGTTGCCGTACTCGAACTCGTACTTAGTGCTAGCTTTTCGCTATTAATTTTCGTTTGGTCACAATTATTATTGACCTGACTAATGTAATTGTTAACTTATTAACTTGTGGTACGTCTTATCTTCATAACATTTACCATCTCTTTTTTCAATACAGTTTTTAATTTGTTGACTCGGAAAAATTTAACTCGAATCTCATAAGTAACCATGTTGTAATGTTTGTCATGTTTTTACTACGACTTGAATGTTTTATATGGCTAACATATTTCGCTTAAATTATTTAATCTGCTCAGTTTATTAATAATGGCTCTAGAATTAACTAGACTCAACATTTAAAAAGTGATAATAAACCATTTCACCACCATTTCATATTCCCACACAATACAGAGAGATCGAGTTGCGCCTTAAGTGGGTCTTTTTAGGCTTTTTTTAACTATTAGTTTTTTTGCTTTGTTCTTGGAACAAGTCGCTCAAGTCAGAAAGAGCAGAAAACATATCACATATTCACTACACTAGTTCAATTGTTACGTTGGTTGTATTGTCGATAGGACGTTAACGGTATAGTGTTAGGAATAACGCTTTATATTTTTGGCCATCTCCATAGGCGTAGCAGTACACAAGAATCCTTTAATGCACACGATTTTACGTATTTCGCAGAAATTAGGCAAATTGTCTTCAAGTTTTTTACACAATAGGGCAAAGTTTGAGAGTGCGTGGTCTTTTTGTCAAAGTGAATCTATAGTAATCGAATTGGCCTTTTTGTCAAAGTGAATCTATAGTAATCGAATTGGCCTTTTTGTCAAAGTGAATCTATCTATAGTAATCGAATTGGCCTTTTTTGCCTTGACCATGGAAGGCGTTGATGTTTTGTATATTCGGAACGTAGGTTAAGACACGGTGTAGATCCAGCTTAGCGCTACACGGTATTGTACCGGCTTTTAGAATGGATACCAGTGTATTTCCATGGTTATTACACCTTTGAAGCGTCTTCACTTTTCTGGTGATATCGGTGATACCTATTCACTTTCAACGGAATAAATATCTCCGAATGCTCCAGCCACGTCCTTCTGGCTCGAGAAGTTAATGTGATGAGCGAATTTGTTCCACAGTTGAATAGGAGGAATGGAGCGGTTCAGTGAGCTTGCATTGGCATCGAAGATCTACTGAGGAAGCCGAGGAACACTTTATTCCGTCCCCATCTTTCCAACTGCATAGTTCTTCATGCCTCAACATACGCGTCAAGAACCTAGTCATTATGTATTCGGGGTGAAAAGTGACTGAGCTCTATTGGACTCACATTTGGCATGTCGGTGCCGCAAGTATCCCGACTACGCAGGCAAAAGATTCCAATGTTCTAACCCACATCAACGGTTAAAGATCAGACATGCCGTTGTGTATGCCAGCATGTCGAAAGGTAGTTGGGGTGAACACGTGGTGCATTTGATTGGGAACTGATGGACAAGAAGCTTTAGAAACTCGATTCCTAGACGTGTTAAACAAAAGCAGGAGGATTGGCCACCCATCCACTGGTCACGGTCTTTCACGAGAACCTTAGGAAAAACATATGATGCTCAGCGAGTTCCTCGGACAAGTGAAATTTGATGCAGGTATTATGGGGAGATGATTGATTGTGGTCATCGAGGTGTTTCCTGTCTTTGTATTACCAATAAATATGGTCAAATTTGGTTGCACTAAGTTCTTTGCCAACTTTCCCTTCCAAAATCTTCCTGTTCTGTTTTCAAAAGCAAAAGGCTGTTTTAGGAAAATATGGCAACAGCGAATTTATTTCTAGACTCGATCATATGAAAGTGCATGCGACGGTAAAAATGTGTTTATGACAATGCTTGTCAACAAAATAACTATTCTGAAATGTTTTAGACGCCGAATCTCTTCGCGGGAAAAAGGAACGAAGTCAACCGGTCTTATTTAAGAAAGGTGAGACTTCACAGTCTAATTCCACTGCAATCAGTTCTTCGAATGAGATTGAAAGTAGTGCTCTTAAAAGCGGACCAGTCGCAGATCCATCCACCGGTAATCGTAATGTTCGGCGAGTCCCGAAGTCTGATGCTGTTGCTTCTACATATTCTGTGATGTCGCCTAGGAGCGACCATGAACTTTGTATTGTGAGCACAGAATTAAGGACGGCTGCAGCATCTGTTCATGGACGGAATAGTGCCGTTACAACATCATATGATACCGCACTGGCTGGTCGTAGTGCTTACATTTCGGAGCAGGAGGTTGATAATAACGATGGTTCTGGCAAGGAGGGTGCTCTCTCAGAAGTAATTGATGCGTCGAATATACAACACAGTGAAGCCACAAGCTCTGAAAGTACTACCAGTGGTGTTTCCTCAAAAAAACCAGTAACTGGTATCTTTGCGGGAGTCCCACGCATGTGCCCTCGGAGTCTTGAAAATCCTTCGTCTTCTTCACGTCCGTCTTCCCTTCCACCTACTCATCGTTCACAATCTCAGTGTCGTAGAAATTCGACGGGTGGTTTTGATGGCTGCAATCGTCTTAATTATATAAGAAGTCCCAAGAATTTCTATTCTCGTGGTGTCTCTTTATCACCTTCATTCGATTGCTGTACTGCTCGCGCAGAAGACTACAGTTTATTTCTTAGTGAAGAGTCTAGTGCTCATTTAACGCATTGTGAAATAAAGTTGACCGAGCCACCTGTTAAACCTAATCGAGAGATAGGCGACTCCCTAAAACATGATCGCCGTGGCAACCAAATGGTGGCAATCAAGAAATCTGATGCTACCATTTCTACATCGACTACCCGTGATTTCCACAGTGCGTCTGGAAGGACTGCTGGAGTACACAGCATCTCTCCATCACTTCCAGGTTGGCTTCACTAATTACTACATTGTTATTTGTTTCAAGGAGTCTTATTTCTAACTGGTAGTCGTTTAGCAGTTCCTCATGAGGTTTCGAAATCCGCGAAGTCCAATTTAGCCGGTGAGCATTCACTCCATATCTCTTGTTTTCAGTCCGATTTTTCATTTTCGAAAATGTGTTTCAAGGTATATCAATACTTGATCAACTACTTCCTGATGAAGATTCTAAACAAAAGACATGTACAAGCTCAACGAGTAAGCTATTTTCGCACCCTAACTACTTTATTTAACTTGTGCAACTCTGTACGTAAAAAATTCGGTTCTACTGGCTTGCTCCCACGAGTTAAATGTTTAAAGGTCTTTCAATTCTTGACGAATTACTTCCTGTCGTCGATACCAAGTCTTCAACGCCATCCACTTCGGGAGGTATTGCAAATTTCTCCACATAACGACATTTCTTATTCTAATTCTGACTTTCATCCAGGTACCACAATTCTTGATCAGCTGCTCTCCAGCGATAGTGTGACTATCGGAACACCATCTTGCTCCGGTAATTGAGTAAAAAAAGTACCTCTACGATGCTGAAAAAATTGATCTTCTCTTGTAGGACCTCCCAGGTCTGAATACCGTGGACAAACAAGAGCTATGAAAGTACGAAGTCCAAACTTAACACTGTGTATGTTATGCATATTTGTAATATATATTCGTGCATATTGAAAGTTTTAAATCGGAGGCATTCCAGGTATCCCTAGTCTAGAAACTCTTCATCCAAATCCTTCTCTCGTGTCGATCAAAGCTGCCGAGAAGTTAGAGCAATTCAAACTTCAGGCCAAACTCAAAGAAGAAAAGGTTTTTTTCGTTTTTGCTTATTTGTAATTTAGTTACATGATTACGTTTAGTAATATTGTCGATTAAATCTGTTATATTAAAGCTAAGAAATTAGGGTAGGAAATTTAATACAACGTTTAAAGAGAACGTAATATAGAGAAAGCAACTGCGTATGGACGAGGAGCAGCGTCGTCGTGAAAGAGATGGGCTACGTGCCATCGGTGGAATGGATCACGACAAGGGACATAATTTTTTTCGTGGCGAAAACCGCAGCGATTGCACTCGCCCTACCTCCCTCTCTTCCGGATATTCCAGAGACTTTCTCCGTGGCTTTCACCATTTAGGAATATCAAACGACATTTACAGAGGGTCGCGTCATGGCGGAGATCGTAACATAGTTAAGGATGATTATCGTGATGGAAATGTACATTGCGAGAGCTACCATGATTCTCATCGCGACAATAATCGTGGGCAGAGAGATGACCGCGAAGAATATTCTTATCGTCAACAACCACTCGAACCTGGAGTATCTCACCGATTTGTAGCCAGTGATGGTGTTACTTCACATGTTCTTACTCAGGAAGGTGCAATGCTTCTTCGTAAGGAGCAGGTATGATTTTTAGACTTTGGTCACATATTCGCAGGTATTTCTATTATGCGGTACATTAAGGAGAGGCGTATGCGTGAACTAGCGAAAGATGTTGACTTGACAAGCCAGATGGAGTTGATGGCGAACTTCGAAGCGAGCTTTTGATTTATCGATCTCCTAGTTTTGTGCCTATCACTCAGGACTTACGAGTTGAACGTGCCGGTGTCAATGATGTTTTTTGTTAATTCTTAATAGTTTAGACGTTCCTATCACTGTTGAAATATCAAGAAGATAAGAGGAATTATTTTGCTCCAGGGTATGCGTTGCTTTCCGAATTTCCCATTTTCTTATGCTGTTCTATTTTTCTAAAGAACAGTGATAGTGTAGAGGGTATCATCCATGGCCCTGTACTCCATGGTAGGGGGTTCAAAGACGTTGGGAACGTTTCCATT